CACGGTTTTCCAGACAAGAAAAATTGAGACAGTTAAGTATCTTCCCTGAATTACACAGCTAATCAATAGATCAGGCAGAACTTGAGTCGAAATCTGCGTAACTTCATGTTTTAATCACCATGTGATTCTGCTTCCCCAAAAGATCGAGACAGCACCAAACACATGATGACCATTCAAGTGCCTGACATTGAGAGAATGAGCGACAGGGGCTAACGACCATAGCAGCCAGAGCAAGGCAAGATGTACGACTCACAGTGGAAATGCAGGAGCAAGTCTTTCTTGAAGGATGTACTCAAGCCAGGCAGTGTCTGGCAGACAGTGGTGCCCGATGGGAACAGAATGGCCTTCTCTGAGTAAAAAGAAATGCTGGGCCAAGAGCAAAATGACACCAGGCAGGAAGGAGAGGAACTGCAGGTGCTGAGCACAGAATATACTCCCCACGTTTCCTCAGGATCGAGAGGAATATCTGCTCAGTGGTGACTTGAAGTCCAGCCCACAGACTAAACTCATTCCTGAAAAGATGATTACATTCTAAGGCTTCATAACTCGTTGCTACCAAGTCAATTGCAACTCAGTGAGCCTAGCGGGCAAAGTAGAACTGTCCCATCAGGTTTCCAAGGCTGTAAATGCTGACAGAGGCCAACTGCCAAGTCTTCCTCACGTGCAGCAGGAATGGACCGCTGACCTTTAAGTTAGCAGTCCAGAGCTTCACCATGGGGCCAAACGTATCAAAGTATGTTCTCTACCCACAAAGGGGGTTGCTCAGCTTTTTAAAAAATGCTTCTGCCAAGCTGAGAAATAAAGTCTCATGAAAGCCTATTTCTGGGAGCCAACTTACTTCCCAAATAGTCCCATAGGTAAGAGATTAAAACCCAACATTCAAAGCCCGGGTTTGCAGCAATAGCTCTTGGCACTCATGGTTCATTTGGGCAATAATTTCTCCTCTGAACGTTGTTAGCACGTGCTCCTGTACTGACAGTGTTAGCAGACTATACAGGGCAAGGCGCCAGGGTGGGTTGCAAGGTCTTACGGTGCCGGCATCCAAAGGCGACTTATGCCTGTGGTCCAGGCCTGGCTTTTTCTTCGCTGCATCATCATTCTATTGCTTAGGCATGAGTGGTTTCTGGGCCAGCAGTGTGCTCCAGTAGCCTGACCCAAGTAATGGAGTATCAAATCCAAATCAGGAAGAAGCCGCAAACCCAGGTGGAGATCCTAGCACCGGCACTGAAGTTGGGGACATAAACGGCCATCCTAGGCTAGGGCCAAGTTTATTATTCTAGCATCAGAAAAAGGCCCATGCTGAACAGCCAGGTGTGTGAGTAAACCCTCCCGGCAGAGAATCTACAGGAAGGCGGTGCCTGGCTGGCATCTGGTGAAAACCCCCAAGCGAGCCTTGGATGAATGAAGTCTTCCGATCTCTGGAGGGCAGTCACCAAAGGTATGCCTGACTTGGCCTGCACTGCATTCTGGGAGGCTCCAGCTCCCAGAACTGAATGCTTCCTTTTCAACAGTACTGCGTCTCTACAACTTTGGTTTTCTAAGAGTTTTTCTGCGATACTACTCAAGTGGCATTTGTTACATGATGATCTTGTTGGCACATGACCAGAAATAACAAATTGTGTTAGAGGAAACATATTAATGAGCAACTGGGGACCGGCTGTTCTGGGGAAATAAACCCCAAATCTACTATCATCAAGTCAACTCATAGCAGCCCTGCAGGGCAGAAAACAGCTCCGTAGCATTTCCAAAGCTGTAAGTCTCTGCAGAAGCTGGCGGCCCTTTCTCCCGTGAAGTAGCCGATAGGTTCGAACTGCCGACTGTTCAGCCAAGCACCTCTCATCCCTGCACCACCGGGACTCTCATTGGGGAAGTGAGCTGTAAAAACTAAGCTTAGCTTACAATGAGCGTGCTGCCAAAGGCCTTTTCAGGATAGGTGACAAACTTGAGAAACAATGTCAAACTATTAGTATCGGGTTAGAAGAGCATCGGTAGAAAATGATATAGTCAGTCATCTTCGTTATCCCAATTAAAGACAAAAGCACCAGTTCAATTCAATGTGTAACAATAAAGTTCTCTGTTTTTAATGCACAAGTTGCTATCTGAACTCAACTTTCAATAGGTAATTTTAAAAGTTCCACATTTGAATATGGTATGCACAATCACTTATAAAGAAGAACATTTAACATTTACTGTGAGCATGTCAGGCACTGTTCGGAGTGTATTACAGGTACTTTTCATTTTATTCTCCATATAACCCTGAGATAAAAATATCCCATTTAATAAAAAATACATATATACCACTTAGTATGAAGGCACAAATTGTTGAAGTAACTAGCCCCAAATTCACTTGGGAAATAATCTGTGAACCCAGAAATTTCACAACCATTAAATCTGGTCCCAGATCATTACACTAAGCGGCCAGTAAGGTCACTTAATAACCATGTTTTACAAATGGTAACATGTAAGGTAGTACTAACTGAAGTGTTAAATCTCAACTCTATCACCTATTTAGCTGTGCAAACTCAGGTCAATCATTGAACTTTTTTGCTTCAATTTTCTGCTCTCTCAGAGATTTTAACAAAGGAACAGCTCTTATTTCAGAAGGCTGCTGGTAATAAGGGCCCAAAGGATGTAATGGGTTATTAGCACAAGGCTTGGCATACACCTTGAGGTAGGCCACAAATAGTGCGATTAGCTATTACTACAAATTCTCTATTTTCACCACCCTTCATCTTAGAGTGGATGGTATTTTCTAAAATAAGTGAAACCAATCAATACTGATGCAATTCAGACTGGAGGTCTCAAAGTATGTAACAACACATTTCTGAGATGGCAAAGGCACAACTTGCTTTAGTGCCACCAACAAAAGTTTCAAGTGCCGAGTGTACATGTAAGGGGGGGTATACAAAACCATGGTGACATTGATAGTCCCTGAGCTCAAAAGCTTACATTCAAGGAAATGACTCCTGCTGAGGGGGCCCACACAGCCAAACTCCAACTTTGGGCATTTCCCCACGAGATGCCCCTGTGGCCTTTGTTCAGCTCCCCTTCTCCTTGTCCTATGGGAGTGGCGACAGCATGTAGAGGAAAAAACCTCGAAAGTGTTGCGACTGCCAAATCCAGGGTGTAGTGGAAAGGTCCAGGAGGAAAAAAGCCTCTTGGGCCACCCTTTCCATCCCCAAACATGGTGCCATTCCCTTGGTCGAGTGGTCTTTGTTAACTAGGAGAGAAGGCATGGGAGGAATAGGAGCTGGAGGCGGCTACGAACAGAAGGATGCAAACACAAATGCTGAGAGGAAGAATGAATTCAGAAAGTCAGAAAAGCCAAAAGTTATGGGACACTGATACAATACTGCCTTCTACCAGCTGCCTAATACTTCTAAACCATCAGGGACCTTTATTCCTTTCCTCTTCAATCCCAAGGTCTGAAGGAGGAAAACAGGATTCCAACAGTCTACATCATGCTTCCCTTTTTCAAGCGAGGCTTCACATCAATTGGAGTCTCAGTCCTAGTCTACAGGTTCCATCAGAAATAACCGTGTCAAGTCCAAACCGAAGACCTATTCTTCCATAGGCCTTGTGCTGTAGAACACCTGGAGACCCAATTTCTCACTCATTTTCAGTGGCTATTCTCGCTGAGAACTTTTGCAAGTGCACATCAGGAGCAGTTGTCTGATGAGCCGCTCATCGCCATACCAGCATGCCGTAACATCTACAGGGAAAGTCCCCGTTCTCCCAGCGCCCCAA